GAGAGAAGGCGCACTCAGTGCACACTAGTGCGCACTAGTGCATCCAATCGAATTCGCCATCAGAGGAACACAAGTGGTCTATTTTATGTTCCTGCACTAGACTGTTCTAGAACTCTCTTTCTCGCTTTAAACAAATATCAAACTGTAGGGACACACAGGGTGCTTTCCACCTATCGACACAGGCGACACTGTGTTACACAGTGTTCGGTTTTGAGCGTTCCAGCAACGACACGGTGTCACACTACTCGACACGGCGAAAAGATGAGTTTTACCGTGCTGTGTCGCTAGAAGTACCAACCATTGAAAAAATAATAGCGTGTTTTGTAGGGACATCAGGTTAAACTTAAAAGTAACATAACCATAAATAGCTCGTAGATGGTGAGAAGAGGAATACTTATTGGATTTTACAGTACGTTAGATTTGTGTCGTAGGTGGAAAGCACCCAATATTTTCATTTTAGTGACATGGCTAGCGAAAGGAGTAAGATTTTTATTCCATTATATTTATATCTATTCACACTAGCAGCATGTTTTCTCATAATTTATCAATATTTTTTATTATTTGTAGAAGGTGAAGATCAGAGAAGATTCAAGATGTGGTTTAGAATTAACGACAATGATCCGATTGAAATTTCGGATTTAAAAACAAGTACTTACGTACGATTAAAAAGTAAGTAGAAAGAACTGTACTATAATATGCAAATATTATATGTATATACAACGCATTGTATAATATAATTACAAATAATTTTAATGTTAATGTAGAGTTTGATAATGAATTTTACAAATTCGTTTCAAATATGGAAACAAATCGAAAAGAGAAAATAAAATTCCTGTGGAAATCAATAGATGATATAGATTAGTAAGTAATAAGTAATTTTATCTGGCAAGTTTATCATTGACAGTTTCGAGCGACGTGTCATACCAAACTTGTTATTCATTTCAATATATCCTATTTTTAATACTTATGGTCGTTTTTCAAGTACACCGGTGGAAGTTCCAACAGAATCATCTGCCATTGTTTGTAGCCAAATTCCAACAGAATCATCAACCAATGTTTTTAGCAACACATTCTCAAGAGCAAACGGTAATAAACAAATATTTAATATTACGATTTACATTCAACCGTATTTAAACAAACAATAATTTTGTATTGTATTTATTTAATAATTTATTTAGGCTAATTGTATATATTAAAATGGTAAATTAGTGATATTTATAATTGTACGAATTACAGATAGTCTTATTTGCAAACATTGCAAGGAAATGATTGAGTCATTTGATGTGGTTCCACAACATAGATGTTTTATTGGAAAAGATGTTTTTATGGATGCGAACCAAACACTTTTTAAAATAGAAGATGCTGACAATAATCAATGTTATATGATAAGTGAAGATAATCCGTTAGAAAATGAAATGATGCTATCAGAAAAAAACGACACCAAAAAATCAAGTATGTTACATTGTTTTTCCTGTTACCACAGAGTACATTTTTTCTAAATATTTCTCTTGCTTTAATTGCTGTTTTATATGAATAATATCAAAATAAATATTGTAAATAATTACTGATAGGATTTGTTATACACAGATGCTGTGTGGAATAAACACTCAACACTGGCAGTTCTTAGTTTGTACGAGGCAAATCTGCATATGCTGGATAATCCAAAAAAGAAAACCAAAGTGTGGACCGCTATATCAGATGGTTTAAAGCAATTTGATGTTGAGGTAATAATAGTTTTTTATGTTTTGTATTTTTTAAATATTTTATAAATAAAATATATACACATACAAAGGCTCAATCGAAATAAATCAAGACAATTAATGAAATTCACTAACAAGAATTAATGTGAAAATAAGCCTATACAAGCCAACACTGGTTTTTACTTGTGCAATTTATTCCAACTTGGTAAATCCAATTACATGATTCCGTAGACGTTTCGATCTCGGTTTAGATCCTCTTCAGTACATCTCAATAATCTTAACAAATTGTAGATCAAATCCTTCTTACAGCATGGATCAACAGTCAACATCTCACAATATATCGTACATCTAATTACCTTGTTAACTGTATATGGACAATTTATACAAAATTAAATAGGTAGTTCAATTTAAATTATTCATCCTGTATTAATAACAATTGTCACTCACATGTATCGTTAACTGTGTCCTTAGGAACTTTAAACCAACAATGATTTCCCCATGCATCGTCATCAAAGTCATAACTCGATAAATAAAAAATCACAGCTATGCATTAACATAAATGTTATAAAATCTTATTTGATATCAACCAAGCAAATGGTGTTATTCATCTCAATTCTATCGTTCGACTGTGACAACATGTAGATATGTTTAAAGTTGAGTAGAGCTACCAAGTTTTGTTATTAAAATTGACTACATTTATTGATTCGTGATTGTTGGTTGTTTTATATTTTTTATTTCCATTTTTTGTTATAAGACAAAAATTTTTGTTATATATATATATATTATAATTTATAAATTTTCATTTGTTCCTAACAGATGTCGAGTGATCAAGTCAGGTGGAAAATAAATACACTTATAAAAAAATATAAAGAATGTGTTGATAATAATGCAAAATCGGGAAGAAACCCAATATCATTTGAGTATTATGATCAAATGGAGGAGATTTTTGGCAAGGACAAAGAGGCTTTCTCTATTAATGGTTATACTCGGTCATCTAACCTTCCAAAAAAAACTACAATTAATCCAGTTTTGAAAACTAAAACTATAGAAATACAGTCAGAAGTTCCAGTTGTTGCTGAATGCCATCCAAGTGTTTTAAAAGCAAGAATACCACAAATTAACAATCCGAAAGCGAGCATGAATGAAAAAAGAGCTCGCCCACTGCATGGAACTGGATCCAATAATGCTAAAGCAAAGCTACAATTGGAAAAACAATGGCTTGAACATTTGCAAAGTGAAAAAAACCGACAAATACAACGAGATGTTAGGCTTACTAAACTTCTAGAGAAAAAAACAGAAGCGGTGAATTTAAAAAAACGGCAACTCCAAATGCAAGAAAAAGAATTGGAAGTAAAGAAGATGATAGCCAGCAATAAACTAAAAGCCAAATATCGTCAGCACGACGAAATAATTGCAATCGAAAGAGAAAAATGTAAATTATTACACAGACTTTTAAAAGATAAAGAGAATATAGAACAGTCTGTTGTCAACTCTGTAAGTGATTCGGATGCTTACGATGATTATAACGAAAGTACTGAAAACTGAAAACGTTTATTAATGTGACATTTTTATATTACATAAGTTTTGTTTCTATTAAAAATTTTTTTATAATTGTTATAGAGCGTATATTTAAAAATGTTTATAGAGTTCCATTTGATGTGATAAAATAATTGCAACCAAAAAATATGCGTACAAAACTGAAACTATTTTATTTTTATTATATACAGGCGTTACTAGAGCGTTTAATACATTATAAATCTTAAGTAAGTTAAGATTTTGTTAAGTATTGTGATTAAATAAGATTTGTTGTGTATTTCTTACTTAAAATTAATTATATTACTTTACACTTCAGGAAATAATTCATTAAATAATTGCATCCTGCGATCTATCCGAACATCATTGATATTTTCATTCATAATTACATGATCGTAATTTTCTTCATTTATTTGAAAATTATCATTTTCATCTATACAAAGGTTGTGCAGAATACACGCTGCTATTACTATATTTGTAATAAATTCCATATTTCTGTACTCCGAAAAAAATTTTATCCGACGAAATCGTGCTTTTAATATACCAAATGCTTTTTCACTTGCCATCCGAGTAGACGAATGTAAAGAATTAAATTCTGTTTGTTGAGGTGTTAAGTGACCATTGTCACGAAATGGTGGAACAAGCCATGATAACAACGGATACGCAGAATCACCAAGTACAAATGTATTATTAGGAAATAGTATTTCTTTATCTTCATTCGCTATTTCATACAAAGTCGACCTTCTTAATACACGAGCATCATGCAAGGATCCAGGTTCACCGCAATATACGTTCGTAAATCGCATATCAGAGTCAACGACAGCTTGTAAGTGAATGGAAAAAAATTTTTTACGATTACAGTATGGTATCTCGTTTACCAAAGGTTTCTGAATACGGATGTGAGTACAATCAATCGTTCCTAAAACACGTCGAATTCCTTTTTTTATAAAAAACCTTGCGCATACTGTCGAAATGTTATGCTGTTGCGGCCATTTAATCACATCATCCAATTTAGTCAAAATCCAAGCGATTACACGACGTATAATACGGAATACAGAGGAAATAGAAATATCAAACCGATCTGATATTGTTCTTATCGGCTCTGTATTAGCCATAAACCACAGGAATATGAATATACTCAGCTTTGCTGAAATCGGTTTGCTCCCATACAAATGATTTGGCATAAACACAGATGTTTCAAATTCAGCTGTAATAGAATAATTAGTAAGATCAATTATATTTATCATTAAAAGTAAATAAATATCGAATATAAGAGTGAAACTACTACTATTTACGTAAATGTACATAATTACCAATAAGTAGAAATACTATTTGTCTTGGCAATCGCATGTGTTCCTTAAATTCTTGTTCTGTCCAAGATTCCACAATTTCTAAATACTGTTCCACACGATACCGTTTACGCCCAGAAAATAAGTATCGCATTAGTGGAAAATATAATGTACTATCTCCATCATCTTCATATAAACTATCGTCTGTTGTAGTGCTGTCCACTTCGCAATAAGTGCTTGCAGAACTAGAGCTACTACTAAGCTGTGTTGTTGTTTCAATCATACAAAATATCGCCTTCCGTTTCCACATCGACATAATTGTTTGGTTAAACAAAAAGTTTGGTTAAACTGTAACAAATGAATTGATTTTAATATACGACATACGCTAATGTAATCTAGCGTATGGTTAATGCTCTGTTTCCTTATATTAATTATTATATCGATTTACATAAAATTATCAACCATTTATTTTACGTTAAATAATATTATACTGACATTTATCGAAATTGTTTCAATTTGAATATAGTTCTTCTTATTTGTCTATGAATAATGAAATCGAGTAGAAAATTTGTTATAGTTGACTATAGAACCATCTGTTGGGGCTTTATCGAAACACACGTGTTCCAAGGAGCACCCTAACTCTGTGTGACACGGTGTAACACTGTGTCACAGTTTGTGTCGTAGGTGGAAAGCACCCACACTCTACACTCTCTCATTCGCTCATTGATACACACGCGCTGCGTGCAGATGGCGCGCTATAGCGCACAAGATTCACTACAGACTTTCCCTTACACAATACATATATACTTACTTACTTCTCATCTCTTCGTTATATTGCTAACGGCTACGTTGTAACGTTCTCGCGATCGAATAATAAATATTCTTTAGTACATCCGCCTGCCAGTTATTTCCATCCGATTCTCTATATTATATGTACGACTGCTACAAAACGTATATCTTTCTCACTTTAAGTTCCAAAAGTGTAGTTCACTAGTTCAGCCACAGAAAATAGACCTCTGATTGCATCGATTTTTGTTGTCACTTCGAGCATAACCTTAAAAAAGGATAAAATTTACTTATAAAGAATGGATCCAGAAAGCAAATTACAATTTCAATTAAATGAAGAAGTTTTCTATTTTGATATGGAATGTATCTAAAGCTGTGATGCGAAATTAATGCAAGGTAAATATATGTATTACTGACAATGAGATGGAAATATTTTCTGAAAATATAATGAAATTTTACTGAAATGTATTTGAATTCTCTCTCAATAGATTCTATTTCATTATTATATCATCAATATTTCAGTAGAAATTCAGTTTTCAATTAAATCGAATAAATATTATATGAAATATTTCGAAAAATGTATTATATTACTTGCAATGGAAAGAAGGAGAGAGAGAGAGAGAGAGAGAGAGAGAGAGAGAGAGAGACCAATAACTACTAAAAAAATCACATCACAATATATGACAGTATCATGTATATAAACCAAGAAATCAAGTAACTGATTTGAAAAATCACATGATATTAAAAATAATTTTTAATCATATAATTTTATAGTTATCAAATTTTAAATAATTGAATGATAGTTAAGAGAAGAAAAAATACATATCAGCGTGTGACTTCTCAAATTATGTAATTTTATAAAATCAGATACTGATTTGGAACAATCCATTACATGATTTATATGTTTTAATTACATGATTTCGTTATATACTTTGTGACCTGACTTTTTTCAGTAGAGAAATTTTTCTTATATTTTAGTATTACATAAAAAGAAATTTATAAATAATTTTGAAATATGTTCAAGTATGTTGCATGAAGTATATATTTAAATGTTAAAGTATGTTCAGTAATTTTTCAATATTGGCATTTTTCTTTTTATCGTACTTTTAATAAAATATTTCCAATAAAGAGTTTAAATAATTTTGTTATATATATTTTGAATAAGAATTTATGTTTGGATATTTATTTTTAGAAAATAATCAATATGCAATTAAATATATAATAAATCTAATCGATAATGGGACCATAATCCTGCAAAAGCCATTAAAAATGATCTACAGAATTCGAAATAATGAACACATTGTCATATATAAAGCAGATAAAGAGGAATTTCAGAGTCAATTTCAGTCAGAACTAGAAGAAGTTGATGAAGATATTGCAACTGTAGATGAGAAAAAGCGTTCAGAATGGGGCGAACAAGATACTGAAATATTATTAGAGAAATACGAAATATATATGAAAATGGTAGGACCAATGAAAAAGTTCAAAAATAAAAAAGTAATGTGGGAAAAAATAGCTACGGATATTGAAGATAATATAGGCCGAAAATACACTTTTGTTCAAATAGAAAATCGCTTCAAAACATTATTAAAAAGAAAAAAGGACGCAATTGAACATAATAAACGTTCTGGTAATGAAAGAACAGATGTTCCATATGGGTTGCGTTCGTAAACGTTACCCATAGGGTAAAAGTGTCTCTGACCCCGCTCAGAAAGTCGAAAATGGAAAAATTACCTTTATCCGAAAACGTTCACAAAGCTTTCCAAGGATTACTCAGGGCATTCCTCAACATACCCTGCTCGGGACTGGGGTAGAGTTTACTCGTCATGCGCAGAAACGCATTTTTCACATTATACGTGAAATTCTACCTCAGTTTTGTAAGACTCGTAGGTTACCGCTATACAACGATACGAACTTTATCTTTCATAATATTGTCATCAATATCTAAAATGTCACAATCTCATCATATTTATAAAGTTATAGAAGGTGTCGATGGAGCCCCAATTTTTGACACGGCAGATATGTCAAAAGTTTTATTACATGATAAAATAAGTAAGTTATCTATAAAGTATTTAAAGTTATATCCCCAAACAAAGTCTAAATTTGGGATATAAAACATCTTGAAGATGTGTTTTATATCCCATGTTTAAGATATCTCTTTGACGTCTTTAAGACGTCTTATGTCTCGCTTTTGCACATGCATCTGGGATCGCCATCATATCTCAATAGACATAAATTGCACTTAGCAACGCGTTTTTTTTTAAATATATCTATTTCTTTAAAGTTAGATAAAGCTCTAACGATATATATATAAATCATTTAAAATTAAATACTTTAAGAGCCAACACTGATTCGTTGTGTATCAATGTAATATGCTTTTATTAAATTAATATAAAACATTAAAATGTAAACGTTTGTGTCATTTTTAGTATATACATGTGATATTATTGTAAATTTCAACACATAAATTTGCATATTTCTACACGTTCAACCATGAGATTGTTGTAAAAGTTCAAAGGTATACATGAATAGATTTGTTTTGTTGAGCTATCACTGGAATTTCGTTAGATTTTTTATAGTAACTCCCATGTAAGAAAAATTCTGACGAGATTTTAATTTTAATTGATCTATTTTTTATTTTCTAAAAGTAGCTTTATAGAAGGTCTAAGTTAATTATTAAAATGTTCACAAATAATACAACAAATATATATAACCTTCTTAAATGATATAAATTGTACAGCAGGCAAAATTGATTTTATTCATTTGACTGAGCACATTATTGATAATGTGCTAAAACCATACGGATTCGAGATATTGTTACCTGAAAAAGAGATTGCTATAGCCAATTCATCTGACTGTACAGCTAATTCAGAAGAAACTGAGAACACGAATCCGAGAATCTTAAAAGAGAGTAATGGAAGAACTTTGAATAAAGAAATGAAAAACATGTGGACGGACAAAAGTAGAGCAATGCTTCTACACTTATACAAAAAGTACAAATGTGATTTTGATTCCAATATCATAAAAAAAAGACGATGTTTGGACTAAAATTGCTTGTGATATGAAATGTGAAGGCTACAATTTTGCTGCAATACAATGCAAAGAAAAAATGAAATATATGAAAAAGAAGTACTTAAAAAAAATAGATAACATCCTAAAAGTACTGGTGCAGCACCATTAAAATGTGATAACTTCGACGAACTTGACGAACTGTTTGGAAATAAGCCCAATGTTATTCCTGTAGCTAGTTCATCAGGAAATGGTAATAAATTTAAAGGTATGATATAAATATTATTATTTGATGAATGTGTTAAGAATTTCTTTTTATTTATTATATTGCTATTTTGCAGTTACGCAGGAGGAATTCAGTGATGTAAAAGATTGTGACAAGAAACAGCGAAAGAGAGCGAGTGCAATAACTCTTAGCGATCTGAAAATAATACTTGAAGAAAAAGAAGAAGCGAAAAAGGCCAGGCATGAACAAAGACAAGAACTTTTTCGACAAAGTATTACTTCTCACGAACGTATGATGGATAAATTACTGGATAAGTTTTAAGTTGCGAGAAGATTGGCTTTTGTTCCGTCCGATTTATTATTGCAATATATATACATATATAATAACGAATTAATTATTAGAATTAGTATTCATTGTAAGATTATCGAAGTACATATTCAAGAAAAATGAAATTAAGTAATATTAGGATATCTCTACGTGATGGTCGAAATTTTGGAAAACGCAATCCAGGAAAAGTACAATCAATCAGAATTGTTAAAATTTAGCGTGTTTGTGTAATGTGCTAATCTGAGTAGTCGTATTATTTTCCGAGATTCAGTTTTCTGAAATTTTGACCGTCATGGGGAAGCACCCTCATTAATTTAACAAGTTTTCTTTAATTATAATTTTTTCTTGAATAGAGAAAAAAGCTGTGGTAGTTTTTAATTTTTTAAATTTGTGCCAAAGATACGGTTACTACAGG